ATTTTTCAAAAGGGCTTATTCCATTTGTTTAGAAACTAAACCATAATGGAAATTCGATTTCATTTCTTAATTATGGTTCAGAATTTTCTTAGTTCATGTTCTTTTAAGGTAAGATATTGAGAGAGTTCCTTAAGGACTGGCAAAGAGAATTTATCCACTGAAGGAAGCTTATTTCCATATGCCTTGGCACACAGTGACGTGATGGCTTGGGTGACAATACAAGAATCAAAATCTTCCCAATCACAGTTGCTTAAGAACCGGATAAGAGAATTTATTCAATGATGGAAGCTTATTTCCACATGCCTTGGCACACAGTGACAGGCTTCAATGTCAATCTAAGATTCAAAATCTTACAAATTAAAAGAGTATACTTAAGCAAGCTTGTTACTAGCTTCCTTGCAATTTTGGAAGTACTGAAATCATCAGAATTTATCCCAATCTAAAGTAGCAAATCTAATTATTCAATCACTAAATAAGTACCCTTGATTTTGTCAGGTTTCCAAATTCACAGCAGACAGCAGCGGTCTCTCAATTTAAAAGTATCAGTTTAAATTACAAAATTCAACTCAATATATGAAAAATTTAAGTATGCAAAGTGCACAAAATATCATAATACCTTTGACGAGTGATGGATATTGTACACTGAAATCATTATATCTTGTCCAGCATTAACCTTATAATTACCAGGAAGCACATCAGCAACTTGAGCTCTTCTTAACAAGACCTACGAAAGCAACAACATATGATAGAAATAAAAAGAGATCACTATAATAAACTTTTTGTCTATTTTTCCTAGTCCAGTTACAATTTACTTAAGAAGGAAAAGCAATGCAACGTACAGGAGGATGTGGGTAGAGACGTAGGGACTCATTTATGCAGCGTGTCAAATACTTTAGATCCTTTATATCATCGAAGGTAGGAGGCCTTCCCTGTAATACTCGGTCAACCTCTTCTTGTGCTTTCATCAATGAGGAAGAATCCTGAGAAAAAGTAAATGAAGAACCATGATGCTCAGTAGCATATGCATTTATATAATAAGCTGAGAAGTCAAAATCAGCAGATTTGGCAAATAACTTTTCCTAATAAAGGTTCTAAAAACTTGAGAGGGTAGATGAAAGGAGCAAAAGGCAAGTCAGGATTTTCAAATGTAAATGCCAAATAAACTTGCTGTCACATATTAAAGGAACAGAACACAATTCAGTTACTGATAACATATAGCTTGGAGATGTGCTAGATGGCAATCAGAAATAGGTACCTAAGTGAAACAATGTTGCATCACGCTAACCAGTTCCGTGCAATACAACAGCCAGACATGTTTAATAAACAAACATAAGTTCGACTTGTTATGAATAATCCCTATGTGGATTATTACAAGAAACCAAACAGGAACAAATGCTTCGTCTTCATAAGTAGCAACAAATTCATAAGACTTTTGACATCATACCTCCATGTAAATAGTTCACGTAAACATACTAAAACAATCCAGAGATAAAGCACATAAAACTCCACTGGGTGTTTCATTGATCACCCAATATTCACTTCCCAAATTAATTAAGACATTTATGCCCCTTTGACAAGTTACTGAACAAAGCAACAATTTGAACTCCTTTCAGGTCAATGAGCATTAAAGAATAAAAAAATCTGCAGCGGAATTATGCAGATCGGTACACCACATTGGGGAATAGTAACAAGATTTTGGGCCTAAATACACACACACAGTGTCAAGTTCATGACATACTCAAGCATCATAAGTCGTACAATTTGGTTTGAAGTCTGAAATTGTCATTGATTGAGACTTTCCAACCTGAATATCAACATATGTTTTCTCATTGTAAATAGATAGATTACCTTACTTAGGAGATACAAAGTCCAAGTCAATACTGAACCAGTTGTCTCATGGCCAGCAACTAACATTGACAGTAGGTCATCCCGTAACTGTACACTTGAAACCTGAAATTACATTTAACCGTTGAATTAGAATTAAGAAGAAACTTAGGAAAATATACTAAAAATCCAATATCAGAGAGAGTGAGAGATCACTCTTCAATATACCACTTTCTTGCAAATGCAGATATGCAGAAACTTACAACGACGAGCAGACATACGTAATTTTCATGTCAAGAACAATGTGCCAAGGCCAACAGAAAAAAACACAATTCAACGAGTCCTTTTTTTTTTTTTTTTTTTTTGGTTGAACTAGGAGGATCATGATTCCTCAAGTGGATATTCCCATTCCAGATCCTTATGGTGATTTGCTTTCAACTCCCAATTATGTATTTGTGTTTCAATCCCCACAAACTATTGAGAGTAAGCTATGCAGGAGCATAAATTTGGTAATGGAAATACTAAAATAATCTAATTTAACAAAAAGGCTTCTTATGTCATGCCAGTCATAATTTTCACAAACGGTACATAATTTATATACAGGAATTCCTGCTTTATAACCATGGGACTCGCATATTATTCATATAACCTCTCAAGTGTGAACAGATTCTACAATTCCACAGTCATGATATAAATAAACACTAATAAGCAAAGAGAGGACCAGACCTCTTCCCTGCTGGCAAGCAAAAAACGGAGAATGCTAGGATCAGTGTCATTCACATATTCCTCCTCGTTTATCTTCTCACCCTCACTTTCCACGATCTTTTTGCATTTCTCAATAAGTTCCTCAACAGTTTGCCTAATAACCATAACAGCCTTTTCCGCTTTGATTTGCCTTGGTATTATCTTACACAAAGCATTAATCTGCACGAGAGAGAGAGAGAGAGAGAGATCACAACTTTAAAACTAAGTAGCACAAAAAACAATTGAGAAACACACGGAATAATGAACAAACACAAGCATCTACATGCCTTCCAATATGGCAAAAGATCAGTGGAACGAGCCTCTGCCTCTTTCAATGCAGTATAAACAGCATCAATAACAGGACTATCAGCTGCTAATGAATCAAAACTGTAATTGAATAATGAAAGACCAATAACATCAAGTGTCAACTGAGAAAATTTCTCCTCCATATTTACAGCATCGCCATTCAATGCATCAGCTTGTAGCTTCTCCACCAATCTTTCTGCACATTTGCAAAACACCCTTTCTACTATCACTGACAAATACTTCCTGTGCAGTGAAGGCGCCACTGCCCTGCGCCTTGCCTACACACCATCACCAAAAATTAAAATTTAAGCATTATTACTGACACTGATAATAATTGCCAGCTTAACTCATGAAAAAAAAATGAAAGAAAGAAAATTACCGTCCAAAGTGGGCCCTCGGCAATAGCAAAACCGGAGCCGAAGAGAAACTCAGAGACTTCAGCAACAAGGCCTTTGGCATACTTGGTACCATAATTTTTTAAAACATGTTTAGCAATAGCAGGGTCACTAACTATAACGAAATTTCTTGGGCCAGCAGCGAGACGGTAAATGGGCCCATAATCATTCATCCATTTAAACAAAGGGAGAAACAAAGCACCACCTAGAAGATCAGACACATCTTCAAGTTTTGCACTGGCAATGGGGATCCCTGAATCGTCGTTTTGGCCTAAGGATAAGGAACGAGTGATGGATGTGAGCCAGTCTGGGCTGACCCAAGAACTTTGTTTTGAGGTTTGTTTTGGGGTTTTGTTGTCTAGAGAAGATTTGATGGACAGAAAGTGAGGTTTTGGAGGGAGAGCAGTTGTGGTGGAGATGGCTTTGTACTTGTAGTTGTAGAGATGAGAGGAGAATGGGGAGACAGAGAAGGTCAGTGACATTCTTTTGGATTCTTTCTCTCTCCGTCTGTTTTAAGTTTTCTTGCAGTTGTTCTCAGTTAGAACATGATGTTTATGTGACTTCAAGTCATGGAAGAAAAGGTCTGTGTGTAATGGGTTTGCTAAGGTCAACTGAAGCAGTCAGTTCAGGTATGAATTTTCCCTTGTGGAATGCGGACTCCGAGCTCCGGTCTAGAAGATAATGATGCGATATGTATTTTTTCTTTTTTCTTTTTTCTTTTTAATATATACTAAGTTGGTTTGAAGTCACGGCCTGTAACTGAGTATTTTTGTCATGGCCTTGAAGAAAGACAGCCCTCGGTAAGAATAAAAATTAATATATACCAAGTTTTCTATGTAATGGGCTTGGGCTGTGAGATCCAGTTTGAAGTCACGGCCTGTAATGGCTTTCAAAAGAGACAGCCCTCAGTAAAAATAAAATAAAATAAAAATAACTTATAAGCACTCAAATTTCAATTAGTTTTCCATGAGTTATCGGAACTTATTTTAGAACCTTTTATTTTTGTCTGGGACAAGCAGGAATAATTATTATTAATACTTGAAATCCAGACAATTTCATGGTCCTTATCTCTTCCCTACTTGCAATAGAAGAATCAAATTAATAAGGCAAAAATTATTATTTATCAATCAAATGAGTAGGGTTTTTTTCACTTCTTCAGTAATATCCTTTTCGAATCGACAAAATCGTACCCGATTTACTAAAATAGAAAACACAGGAGCTTATTTGACAAAAGTGATAGCAAAAATGTTTTTTTCAACAAAATGGCAAAAACAGAGTGCAAATAATGTTCTATGTCACGGTTTTTATTTTAACCATCCTGATATGAATAAACATCAACTTCCACCTCGATACGAAGTTAGTGGAGCTCGTAAAAGCAAGGTAGATTTGAGATTAGCTAAATGAACTCTACATAAAACTAATACCAATCACCTGTTCGATAGGAAATTTTTAAGGACTTTTAAGTTCCAAAAATTCTAAATTCACTGCTGACTTCGCACGTGACTATAGAAGATTGCACATGTACAAGAATACAAAAACTCTGAATTAATATTGGATCTGCCAAATGCAACATGATTATAGATTATAGTGCAGATTTACAATGCCGATCCTTTTCTTTCTTAAGATCAGATGCCAAAAAGCCAACTCAATATGGTTTGGCGACAACGGCTAGACATTAACCACTACATAAAATTTACACGTCACAACATCTTTTCACGCCCTGAGGCAATCTCATAAAGCCAGGTTTTGGATTGCCATTTCTTTAAGGGATGTCACCAATCTACGAAACACCTTCAGATTGTGGCCAACCTTTTCCTATAAAACCAAAAGCAAACACATCAGTGCGAATTACAAAAGATTAGAATCAAGATCATATTCCTAGATAGTTGCTGACACCAATGACGCTACATACTTCAACACCAGGGTTGCAACTATTTATTTTAAACTAAAACAATGATAAGTGCATAGTTTAAGCTGAAACCTCCAAAATCATGAAATCATCCTTTTCGAAGTAAAAATGGTTACACCATCCTTTTGCCACAGATGAAAAATCCCACAAAGGCTCTTGTAAGTATTTCATTTGCAACACAAGCAAATTGATATTACAACAATAAGAAGTCCACTGTACTCCAACAACAAGGAAGAAGTATCCTTTTCTTGTGAAGAGCAATTGTTGTGCAGATAGAGAAACAAGAATCGCAAGTGATCATGGCCAAAATTGAAATGATGTTCAGATTTCAAACATATCCTCAAGCAGTTAAGTTCAAATCAGTATTAGCATTACCCATTATATAATTTTCAATTTCCAATTCAAGTTTAAAACTACAAAATTAGTTTCAATTTATCTATTTAAAAAAAAAAAAAAAATTACCAGGAACGAGGTTAGGGATGCAGAACAAAGAATTGTTTATAGAATAAGCATACGTTATTTTGAATGAGTTCCTGACTAGTATGTATAACACCTATGTGGGGAGAAATTAGAACAGAGAAGTGAGATGAGATATTACAAATGATTGTGCTAGCAGATAAAGGCAAGTTTGAGATGCTATCCCAAGGTCTTTTCCAAGATAACTTGAATATTTCTATGTTACAGTTATTCAATCAAACAGAGGGAAAAAAAAACATTTATGATTGAACTAGTAAGTACAGAACCATAAGTAGCAAATATAAATTTGAAGTGAAATGTAAAGTTACAAAATTACAAGTAAATATATGAAATTAAGTATGTTTTCACTTCTTTTGTCATAAAAAATGGACGAAGTTACCAAAACTATGCTAACTTGAAGCCACCATATCTAGCGCCACAGTAGAGCAAAACTAAGCAGGCCAATTGCCCCCTTACACAGGTGAAAAAAGGTTAGTTTTGTATGAGTTTTATTCTGAGTTTTATTCAATTCCACAGTTCAGTGTATAGCTGTAATTTCTAGATATGCTCCAAATTTCCGAGAACTACGCTTTTATCATATGATATTGCCATGCTAGCTCTTAATTACGCAGGACTAATATAGTTATGCTTTCTTATTTAAGAGTGTTTTTACTCCGTGTTAGATTAGGAATCCAACTACATAAATCTTTAAGGAGCATGCTGAGTTTGTAATTATGAATACAATTTCAAGCATTCATGCTTTAAGGTTGTGTGATGCAGTCTTAGATGTGATTCCTGATAATTCTAGATGTGATGCCTTGGGCTATCCTCTTTCTAGGTGTGATCCTAGAAAACTTACCAGTGTGACTATAGTAGCCAGAATACATTTTTCCCAATTCAAATTTCAAACCCTAAATCTCTTTACACTATAATCTAAACCATTAAAATCCCCAAACTTTCCAAGCTCTGACCCATCATAAAACAGTTGCAGGACAGAAATTCAAGTCTGTCCTGCACCACCTCCCTTCTCAAAAAACCTAGCTTATCCCCTCATTGTACCAAACAATCAATCCATTGGATTTACTAATTTATCTCATGCACACTTATCTCGGTAATTTGAATGACTGGCTATAAGCTGTAAACAGAAATTAAGTACCATACCTCACTCAACAGCTCAAGTCGTTCTAATATGGGAACCAACTTTCCACACATCCACGATAGGTCCTGTATGCGTTCAGAGTGCGTGCCAAATGTAATAGCTTTTGTAGCTCCACTGTTATCAGATGTCATGGACCTGCCAAGAAATCAAAAGATCAAGGGGGAGATAAACTTCAACAGCAATATCTCATCTCTAAATGAAATTACCATTGGTCCCCAAATCAATATAACAAGGTTACTTTGGTTTAGTCTTTTGGTAATTTGGCTATCTTCAGTCTAATTTTGGAAAACCCAATAAACCAAGACTACCAACGGAAATTTTAATTATTTTTTCATAGTGTATTATACATAATGTTTCATACAGATATATTGACGGAGAAACACAAAAAAATAAAAAATAAAAAAATAAAATAAAAAAATAAAAAAAAATAGAAGAAGAAGCTTTATAATCCATTCACTTATTTGGTTTTTTATCTAAAATTCAATTATGTTCAAGTTATAAATACATGAAAATTTCATAAAAAAAACCAAAATGATGATTACAGATACCAAACCCATACAATGCTTTGTTGTAGTAAAACAGAGGGTGCGATATATTTTACAGCGACATTTCAAAACCTCCTACATCCAACAACCAGACCTAAAAAGCAGGGAGGGAAGGAAAAGAAAATAAATTTAAAGGAAAAAGACAAACACACCATTCCCGAAAATGGACAAGGATGATATCCAACACATGTTCTGCAAGCGGAAGTAATAAGGTAATTAGCTGATCTCTTTCTCCAGCTACACGGGACATTTCCATCATTGCGATATACCTCCTGCAAAAATGAGACCATCAGGCATGGAGCAAGATAGTGTATGTGAAAAGAATATGATTGATTATTTACACTCAAACACTATGGTTTTAAGAGAATTCAAAATGAAAACAAAGCAAAACGGCTAACAAGTTGAGGAAAAGACAATGATCCCTTCCTTGCTCAGACATCAATCCCTTAATTGCAATAAATGAAGGCTAAACCATGATTGTCAATCTTGTACCTGGAAAAAAATGACCAGTACTCCAGGTTCACAACCTACCATCGTCCATTGGCTTTAGAAAGATCAACATCATGGGACGACCGCCACAGCAAGATGGTGGTAAAATGCAAACATTATCACATAATTGGACCAAATGTAATTATACTGACCATTTATGAACACTTTAAAAGCAATTGGATCGGTTTTATGAGGCCATCCTACCATGATTTGACGGGCCACCCAAGAATAGCTTTTAGAACATTGGAGAGTTAAACATTTTTAAAAATAATTTAACCAATTTATAATTTCGTTGTTCATTTTCTACAATGCACAATGTTCTGGAACTTAATTGATACTTCAGGTCTAAGATTAGATAAAGAGGTATTGCTTCAACTTTTAGATGTTGCAAGCCAAAAAGGCACAAAAAATTTCAAATATAATCTAGAATGGCTCTCCGCCACCAGAAGACATACTGAGTCATCCAACATAATAAATAATGAGTTTTATCAGATGTTTATTTTTAGCAAATGGATAGAGTCCAGCTATTCTTCATATTTGAAAAGAAATAGCAGCAACGATCTTGCATGATACATAATTTTCAGCCAATTGTGGTCATATAACCAAGGTCAGTGAGCCACCACTTGGGCAAGTTCCTGATTGGCATCTAATGGAGAAATATGATCACCGGGGCATTTTATTGATAAAATTGGATAAAGCAGAAAAAGTAATCAAAAAAGGTAATTCAACCCTTTTAAGTCTGGATTAGCAATACTTCCTATTCAGGCCAGCAACAACCATATTCCTGCCCTCGTTAAGAAAACAATGAAATTCACCTGGCTTAGCCCTTATAATTTGAACATGAGAGAGATCAGACGTTGCATGACATCGTTGTAGACATGAAATCCGGCAATCATTCATTCCAGAAAAGACAAAGAAGGCTTCCTTGTTGATGACATGGTGGTTGGTGAAACTGCGTTGTCAATCATTCAAAAGGACTTGGAAGCCTAAATCAGGGGCAGGCATAGAAGGGTTTGTTCACATTGAAGGATGATAGTGGTTTTGATTTGCGGGCGATCGAGAATAAAGTAAGACTTCTTGAATTAGTATTTGATTATTTAGTTTTCTGTGATTATTTATTATTTTATGTAGTTTAAAGAATTATATAAAAGTTTTTACATAATAGTTATAGTAAAACTTATTAAGGAGCTTAGATCTATATCCTATTTAGTAACTTTCTTATGGTTTTGTTTTTCTAATCCTATAGGGTTTTGGTTTTCAAACTTTCTATTTGCTTTGGTGCCTAAAAATAGCGCCCTAGTTAGAAACAGGTCAAACTAATCTAGTCTCTACAAACATATGGCATCATTCTTCATAGTCAGGAAAGAGATTTTTCTTAAAAAGCCATGGCTTCTGATTTAATGCAATGAGCAAGCACTTCCCAGAATCAGCGGCCAAGCACAAATTCTACAGTGGAAAATTTGTTCTTGGTTTGAGACCTAAAATTGCTGCTCCATGTCCAGAGTCATTGGGTGATTCCACAGCTGCTGTTTCTTTTCTTTGGCCTTCTTCTAGGAAGTTGGAAGTTAACCCTGGTGCCTGGCTTTTCTATTAAAGAGAAATTGTGTGTTTTGCAGCGGATAACAAATCAAATCTAGCTGCTTGAATATTTTTTCCACAATTGGTTGAGAAAGACTGTCCTTGATTTGCTTTGCTTGACCAATATTGGATAGTGATCTTTTTATTTATCAGTTATGTAATATATGCATACTTCTATACATTGAATATGTAAATGAAAAGACTTAAAAGATAGCTTTAATCAGAAGTCTAGTTTCACATGCTAATATAGAAAGATAGATAAAATTAACATAGGGAAAAACATAACTCAAATGAATCAAATCATCATTAGGATTAAACACAATAATGAATTGACGAAAATCAGAACAAGTACCTCTTCTGTATGTCATCGGATGAAGAAACACACTCTTGCAGAACACACATGTTGATAATTTCATCTACCTCCTGCCTTGACAGTTCATTTATATCTTGAATCTGAAAACACAAATAAAGTTACTTTTTAACTGAATATGATAAGAAATTAACAGAATGAGAAAAAACCAACAAAAATATGAAAACGTTTGAACACATTTACTGATTATAACACCTTATTAAGTAGTAAGGATTTCTCCTCAGCAGCCATTTCAAGGGAAGTTGTAACTGAATGGAGGACAGAGTCAAGTAACGTCAACGTGGGTAGCTGCGGTACAGCAGTAGAATGGTAATCAATGGAGCTGTCTGAGACCTGTGACAATCACAACTAATGTTGACCATATGGGAAATATCTCCTTACGCAATGGGAAAGGTAATACGATATTTCATCACAAAAGACCAGCATAATATTCATAAATATACCTGGAGTTTCAAAGATTTCTTTGTGACTAAGAAATATAGGTAAGAGCCCAGACTGAAGCATAACCGAAACGAGTTCAGTTCTACCTTGCTTTTATTCTGATTTTTTCACAATAAACAACTGCAAACGTTAATACAATAAAGATGAAATATGTGCATGTATATATATATATATATTTCTTGCAAAAGCGGTTCTAAAAGCGAAATAAGATACCTCAGAAGATTGGACCAATCTACCAACAGTAGGGGTTCCAGAGTCACAAGAAAAAAGTGCACGCATCATACTGAATAGCCGTTGAACAAACCCAAACTCGTCACTCTCTTCATAGGGCCATACCTACAGGGGAAAAAAATGGAACTGTGCATAACCAAATAAAGATTTTTCTTCTTTTTACTTTTTGAGCAAACCAAATAAACCTTTTGACAAACAAAAGAAAACTAGCTGATAAAACCAATGGAAAATATCATCCAATATCACATTGAAGAGATGGATTAATTATTTATTTATCTTACTGGAATTAGGTAACAACACAGGATAACATCAAAACTGTTCCCCTGCCTTACCCATCTCATCCAAAGTACGAGAAGTATCCTAGTCACTCATAATACTACCACGTGACCTTATTAGCTTAAATAGCAAGCAACCAGAAGCAAATTGGCTGGTTTAGAGCATATATTATGTCCCTTTCAAGGAAGATATCAATTTTTCCCCAACCACAACATAGCTCAATGCTAGACTGCCACTGGATTGCCTAGAGATTGCAATACCTTAGCAGCTGAAATGATACCTCCCTTGTGCTAATATCTAATAATACCATTACAGCCAAGAGTTTACCTTACTAAGTATGCCGACAACAAGATTGATCTGCTCCATGGTCAATTCATCAGCTGTGGAAATGTCTTGGCGAAGAATTTGATCAAACAACAACTGGTGTCCTTTTACAAAATCTATGACTTCACGAACAATTTTATTCTTCACCTATAACACATAGAAAAGGAGGGAAACGAGGAGGAATTTTAAGTACACATTGGACCAGAATAAAGAAACAAAAAGGAAAGAAAGCAAAATGCCCTGACCAAGATAGGCATAAAACTGAAAGCTAGGACATGAGCCTTGACGAGCAACATTGACAACCAAATGAAAAGAAATTGCAACAATGAGTTTGTGGTAAATCTTGATATAACAGTAACTGTTCAACAGTGATAATTCAGTGATGACTGAACAAATTGTTTAAAGAACTTGTTTGACTCACTAAAAGCTCATCTCTGTTCATTTATTTATTTTATTGAAGCAGCTTAACAGCTGATTGTGATGATTGTTTAACAAATGAACAAGATATAACACATCACCTTTAAGGCTGACGTACAAGCTCATGAACAATCTGTCTTAAGGTTGCTCGTAGGCTTGTTTAAGTTTTGGTAAGACCTACGTTGGCATAGACTAGACTATTCACTCTTCTTTCCAGAATTAAGAGTATTTTTGAAAAATAAAAAGAATGCACTAAATGCTCCGGCTTTCACTTAACTTCAAAAGCCAATATTGGCTCAAACCTTCTTATCCTTTTATTCTTCTTATTTTTCATTCAACAAGTACAATATAGCATTGTAAGAGCAAAATAGACAGATGAATCTAAATTTGTTCGTTGATTTTCTTGTTGTGAGGCAAAGAAAATAACAGTCGTGTTGCATAAAGGGAGTAACAAGGATTTTGCTGCATATGAAAACTACGGGAGAGGTTTTAAATAACGACCTTTGTTTAACAGAACTGGAGGACAAATTACTGTTATTAGGCATTATAGTGCCATTAATGGTGATTTTACAACAATAACACCTATAATGCCCTTATATAACAGTAAGGGCCGTTATTGTGAAAACAACAGGTTGATAACAGCCTACTCACTAATATGATTTTTTGATAGTTTTGTATTCCAAGTTCATGTTTTCACACTTGACTCTTTTGATAGTTATAATGTATTGTTTAGATGACATTTAACAACTAGAAGTGTTATTATTTTATATATTATGTTACTCTATTAAAAAAGCATGCATTAATGAAGTTTGTTATGATACACTATAACCAGGACCGTTAATTTCAAACCTGCAAAGTCTGCAATCTGAAACCAAGGTTTAAAACTATTCCTGCAAGTTTAAAGCTACAGACTAGAGAAAAAAGGACCAGTTTCATAAAGACACATGTTTAGTTAGACATGGGTAATTTCAGAAATTAGTAAACTTAAGCGATCTACTATGAACTCCAAATGCTGAAGTCCCTATTCAACTGGCCAAGAATAATTTCTAAATTGTGAAATCAATTCTATTAACTCAATTCAATTTAATTGTAAAGAGAACTGATCCCAAACAGGGTGTGAAGAAGGCTTCAGTTGGCCCAAAAAGATTGTCCTTTCGAGAGTGTCATTAGCAGAATCATTACTCCATGTACTTGAGGATTACTAAAAGCTTCGAAAAGAAACATAATTTTCATTTCCAAGTTTCGCTACGTGGGAATAACAAAATTGAAAAAAGAAAAGGTTATAAGGTTTCAATTAGATAAAAACAGATTCAATAAGAAATTACCAAAACCAAGAAAGAAGGCTGACCTCGAATACATCGGATGTATCAATCAATGATGTCAAAGAAAACAAAAATCTCAACATAGGTGTTACGATCATTCGTTGTTTGTCAATATCAACAGAAACATCTCTATGAAGCTTTGGGTCAAACCGCCTCAAACTTCCCTACAATCCAGCATAAGTTTAAATTAAATGCAACAAAAATGATTTAAGAGCAGTTGGATAATATTATCACCTGTAAACTGACTGCCCTGCATGATGCAAGATGCTCCAAAGCACCCATGGAAAACAAAACTTGAGCCCCAGGTTTCCCATATTTGTAGCTGATCCTCAACAGTAATGCCAATTCAGCTTCGAGGGTACTTGCCCGCTGCAATGAGTCTAGCGAATGCCCGCCATCCTAAATTAAAAAAACAATATGACATGGTAAATGAAAACCCATAAATGCAACTAAAGGTTACATGAAAAGGAAGAAAAAGGAAACCAAACTCGGGAGCATGCTGTATTAGGTGGCACTCATAATTCTACCCAATTAAAGAAAATCAAATATCCTTCCAAATTAACATAATAGACAAATATGCTGAAAAAGGAAAGACTCATGAACCTGGAAAGAAGGGGGAGTAAAATGGAGAGCTAAGTGTGTTTTTCTCCATTAAGGATCTAGTGGGACAAGTGAAAGTATGAAGCATGTTAAAGTTTCTTTAGTTTGTGGGGTTTTTTTCTCTGATAAATGCGTGTGGAAGCAGTTCAGGTCCATTTGTAAAATTTTTCTGTTATCAAGTAAAAGTGTACAAATGCAAGTCTTGAAAGCATCTACTTCATCAATGAGTAGACTGTTTAGCCCATCCAAAATGTATTTAACAGCGACTTGCAATTGTTTTAGCCTGCGGAGTCCAGCATTGGGTGATGACTCGTCTACATGTGCATAGGGGTGCAAATAGGTTGGGAGAGGTTTATCACAGAACTAGCAAATCTATATTTTCACCTGATCTTCTGATTAAATCTTCATTAAAGTAAAATTAAAAAAGCCGTAATTTCACTTGTTACTGTATCGACAAATAAAAAAAAATGCAGAACATAAAACAGTTCTAACCATGAGTCTGTACATTAGTAGTGAGAGAATGAACACCTGATACGAAAAATTGCTGATGCTCGTTAAGCAAGACCTTAAAAAACCCCTGCTTTGAAGTTGGCTTAAGAAGTATCTCTCATGGTCAATACAAATTAATGCAACCAAAACATAAAGCGCTATTGTCTTCCCAGGTTCACTCCCTTTAGCTGCATCACTTATTACCTAGAGATTCAACAACAAACAAAGAATAACTGAAAAGCAAAGCAGTCATGAAAACAAATCTTTTGATTCAGAGAGAAGCAACCAGCAGAAAAAAATAAACCATAGGCAGTAATCACAACACTGGAAGCAGACAAGAATGAGAACTTGGATAATCATATCTTTTTGGATAAAATTAAATATGTTAATTTTTTTTTTTTTTTGGGTTAAAGAAGCTCGTCTTATACTGAATATCTAAACAGAAATTGAATGAACAGTCCAATTGAGTGTGAAGCCTTTTAACAATTAAGTCTTCAAAGACATTACACGTATTTGGGCCTGTAGATAATGACCACTTTAAACTAGAATCCACAAATTTAATCTGAATCTCAGATCCCATTAACGTCTATCTATAATTAACACTGAGGATAACATTCACCATTCCCGACATTCCAGCCGGTTTCCATGCTGCCAAATATATGATGAAAGAATAAGAGACCTACCAAATCCAAGATGGCCTGAGCTTCTTTTCTCAGAATCGAAAAATTGGTACGAGCTAGTTCTGCCTGTTCTTTGTCAATCTGGAAAAAGGGCATTGGATAAAATAAGATAAAATTTAAACGCAAGAGAAAATTAGATCAGGGATTTAGAATCTACACACTTTCTGGAAATCTAGATCTTCACTATCTTGCTCTTCAAGCATCAAAAATTGCAGAACTGATGTTGGGATATTTGGATCAAGCATGTGCTGACAATACTGAAAATAGCTAAGCAGCAATGCATATTGGCTGCAACCACCAACCAATGGAGGAAAAAAAATCTCAGATTTCAACTAGAAGTTAACAAGTGCAATAATATCATCACCTTTCGGAAAGGCATACCGTCTTCTCAAGGCTTCTGATGATTCGTTTCTCAGAATTGCCATTATAAGCTTAAATAATATTGAGTGACAGGCACCATTTGATAGATTTTTGGCCGTTATAACATCAAGACATGTCATATTATCTGAATTTAAGCCAGCAGGGCACAAGAACCTTTCATCACGCAGTTTAGCCATGCATGTAAGTGCAACCTGCAAAAAATTCAAAACCAAGAAACGGTGACCTCCTTAGTTAACTTGGGGAATCAGTTTCTTAAAAAAAAAAAAAAAGTTGAGTTAATCAAATAGATCAATCATACCTGACTCAATACAAATGCCATCCTCAATGAACAGTCTTGAGAAGCAGAAGCACTTAGAGAGGCATCAAGAACCCTGCCAATACCAGAAATATATTTACAGTGTATCCAAGAGGAAACTGGAATTAAACGAAAAACAAAAAAAAAAAAAAAGGAAGATAGCTGAGCAAGTGAATGTGTCAATGGTACCCACTGATAAAAAATTTCAGATCGATTTTCAAGTGAATGTATTCTTCTGGATACAGATACCTGAGCAAATACATTGATCAAACACAAATGGAAATGTATTAGACATAAGCAGCCAAAACCTTATTTCAAACAGCACCTTCATGGCCATATGCAAAGGGATTTAGGGAGACAGCAATGGACCTCAACAATATGTGACCAGCCAGTTAGCATATGAAGTTGGGCAGCTTGTTCCTCAAGGTTCTTATTAAACTTCCATCCCCATCTCAATAACTGTTGAATCGTCTCTCTTACATCATTGAGCTCAGCTTCATTTCCAAAGTTACTTAACTGGGGATAGACTGAATTAAATTTCTGGGGCAAAACAAAAATCAGTACAGCATCCTTCTTTCGGAAAATTTCAGCAAATTAATAATTAAAAAAAAAAAAATCAGTCCTAGACCAAAAAATTAAATTATAAACTAACCTGCCAAAGTTTGTCACGGAAAGAAGCAAGGTCAATCAGACGATCAGCACGCTCTGAATAATAGTAGATACCGCCCTTTCCTGAAGTTGTTGGATCTCCAAGTATGTCCTCTGCCTGCAAAACAGGTAAAAAATATCAGCACAGAAGAAACAAAGCACGGACCCATCAAAAGAACTAGAATTCTTACCATCAAGTCATACTTCATATTAGAAACAATCTGAGAAAGCTTCATGGTAGTATCAGGAGATCGAAATTGGATAACCTCGAGCAACTCCAAAACCTGAATTTGATTGCAGAAGACATGTTTCCAGCAGGAACAAAATGAGAAAGCATGTTTTGCCTTCAAAAAACTAAAGCACCAATGTTTTTTAAATATAAATTGTTTGATAATATTTAGCTATCTATGAAACCGGACAGCTATGAAGCAAGCACCGAGGACTTGCCACCCATCTACAGGGTAAACAAGTGCTGAAAACCAAATACTTCTATAGTACACACTAAGTACACAAACAAAAAAAAAGAACATTCAGGAATTACAGAAAACCCTCCCCACTAAAAAAGAGCTATGAGAGAAGGAAAAAAATAGCTAATAGTATAGAGCTCCAAGAGTCTGAAATTGATAAAATCCGTCACACCATTGAGCATAAAAATTTTACATAAAGCAATTTTAAATACGAATAGATATGCAAAAGTGAAGCAGCATCCAGTAAAACAAACTGATATGCAAGTGTAAACGCTTAAGTAGCACAGAAACCTCTAAAAAGATAAATCCACAACGCATCTGAGAATAATAAACTTGATATTTCATACAGCAGTATGGCAATGGCTCACTGACAATTACATTGAGGGAAAAAACCAGGAAATAGAAAATGATATGATTAAATCTGTTTAGATGGTTAAAACAGTCTATAAAGTTCAAAGAGAAACAAAAATATAAATCAATAAAACAAGCATCTAGATATTCAGAGTACAGATAAACAAAAGGCAGTAGCACTTGTCATATTGTTAGAGGCAGGGCAAACAGAAGGAAGAAGAATCATTTAGGGTTTCTTTGCTTTGGCTCCACTGAATCAAAGAGTTGGGGTCGAGGGTTTAAATATTAATCATAGTAATAAAAGGCATTCAGAGTTTCATGCCAAAGTGCACTTCACATTCAGGTCCAATTTCAAGACCATTATCGTGTGGCACTGGCTTCATTTTCATTGACTTACGACTTGATATGGGTAGGAGATCTAGACTGAGTAAATGTACAGATCATTAAGGAAGAATGTATGTGTATAATAGTTTAAAAAAAAAAAAGTAAAGACTGAATTCTTATAGAATAAAGCAAAATCTATCTATATATGTGTGTGTGAATGAGCACCCAGTCCAAAAGAACAAGATGACAAAACTCTAGCCACCAGTCATCAAGTGATAAAATAAAGGGGAGTGCCTAACAATACCTTACTCCTGCTTATTGTCTGGGTTCCAGTATGCTCAGTGCCATTTCGAAGAATAATGGAATCATAAACTACACGATCAGACCCACTTGCAAATACATCCCGTCCAAAAAGATGAGCAAGTATCGTCTGACATGCTTCTTGATGAGTGGGGCCACCCACATAACCAGCGTGCAACTCTACAGCTAAAAGCTTCAACAGCCATGCTCTCTAGGAAAAATAATTAAACTAAATCAATCATTAGCTGTGTAGAGATCATAAGGATTTCTTTAGTGGTAAGGGAGGCATGGTGGTTGGGATAGAGATCATAGGTTCAAGCTGTAGTGCTCTCCATTGTGCCAAAATATAATAAAAATGAATTCCTGGTTTCTTGTCCATATAAAAAGATTAGCATGCATCTAGACATGAAATTTTGAAAGCAGTGTTAATTACTTAGCAGGTTTCCATGTAATGCATAGCATGTGTAAATGAAACCCATGTGAGTGCTGAAAAGTAAAACATCTCAAGGATTTGCTGCTCAATTTCGACAATTAAGAGGCAAGAAGGGCAATGCTGAGGTAAAGAGCTTCAATGCTTGGAGAGTACAGAAAATGAACACCACAAAATGAAAAATATAAATTCTTTTTCCAGAATCAAATCATGCAAACTGCAAATTAGCGTTTTTAGAATAAACAATGCTTTCCCATCAGATAATGGCAGTAGTGAACTCGAGCAGCATGCTGAAATGGTCCAGGTTTTCAGTTGAATTATTTAAGGCAAAGACAGCACAAAACCCATAACAAGCTGGTCAGAATGGTGAAACAGCCAGCTCGGTGAACTGGATATTTTGGTTCTTAGAAGAATTAGAACTTAAACTAAATGTGATGTCATTTTAAAACCATATAATGGCAATAAAAATAGTACTACATTTATATTTTAAACTTTTTAATTGACCCATCAATTCAATTGGGTCGCTACGGCATCTGGTACTTCTACCAATGGTTTGCCCGAATTAGCAACTACAAATACATCTCCTTTTATATAATATATATAACTTGGAGATCATGATATTCGCATAATGTCCATGTCTATAAAGATCGATCATGCTAACAACAAAATGTCAGATGATAGCTATTTGTAAATCTTGATTGAAGTAACAGGGCTTTGAACAATAAAGCTAATTCGCCCAGTGTCTAAAAGCTGGCTGCCAAACTACAAGTGCGGATGTCTGTGGAGACCACAGACTGCACAAATGATAACAATAAGTCTTAATCATCAAATAATAAAAACAATAGCAAACCTGGTGAAGGGAACTGATACGAAGTGGCTGGTTACTATTTCGTTTAGGAAGCGGAGCAATACCAATAGTATCAAGGTGCTGTCATGATAAAAGATTCATTCAGAAACAGAACAGTTACTGAGATGCTTAAAATAGATGCGAAAATGCATAAAAACATTATACAGTATCAGCAGAGTAATGGTATCAAAGAGCTTTGAATTACAGTTCATGATGCACCTTTACAAAGAATTGATACTTTTTCTTGCTCAGCAAATCCATGGTAGGGCCACATGTTAGAGGGTCCACGCACAACTCATAAAGGAGCTGCACCAGTCAAAATGGTTAGATATTCTGAAAATGCCCGAAGAGGAAAGGAACCAAATAAACAACACTATAATAGAATAAAACTGAAGTTGCATGAAACCTGAAAACCAAACTCATGAAGCGGAGCATTCTTTTCTGGCTTTAAAAATCTGTCCAAGATTTCAAGAATAACCTTCAAGCAACTGCATGTTAAATAATAAAGCACAACCTATCAAAAAGACATCACAAAAAATAAAGATAAGCATACATACGCAACTTCAGACCAAAAAAAAACCTGTAGTGAAACTTTGGCTGCAGAACTGTCTGCTCAACTGCATGGTCAATGTCAAATTTAAGTAGTAAATGTGTAACATTTGGAGCTGGCCGACTAACATTATCTATTAGAAGCTGAATAGAAAAATACAGCTGATTACAGATGACATCAATAAAGATTGTTAAAACATTATTGATGTTGGAAGCAAAGAAGTAGCTGGCCTTGCCTGCATTATCAGAACCCCAGGATCATCAGCCTTGTTCTCTATGATCTGGCATTCTTCTGATCGTCCCTCAAGGCAGGCCGCATAATCCTCAACCAAAGAGTTTGCAGCATTGGATTTCAAAAGTAACTGTACAAGCCCCACCACACGGGAACTGTCACCAAAAGTAACAATAGTGCAGTTAAGGCTTTCTACACAGTGCCATGAAGACCCAAAAACATCATATATGTGCAGAATGCCACCCACAAGCACGAGTGTTCTTCGTTCTGGTAACTGAACAAAACGTTCAAATAAAAAGGAATAGTGGAATCTGAGAACCTATTTATTGAAGAGCTGGCTCAATATACTGGCTAACCAACTTCTTTTTTTTTTTTTAATTTTCTAAGCTTTTATTGGAAGTTTTCATAATGAATTTTCAGTCCATTAAAAACAGTTGACAAGATGACGTTTCTCGATCATATATGACATTTGTAAATAATAATAATAATAACAACAACAACAACAACAACAACAAGGTTATGGTTATAATGATAAAATATAAACAGAAAAGAAAAGAAATTTTATGGTTCAACTTTGGTAATCTAACCAATCACATAGAAAACTGGTTTGGTTAGGTTATCTAGTAATCGGTTCAGCTAAAAGCTGGCTGGCACACCCACAATTTGCTGATCTTAAATCAATGTCAAATCGAACAATCAGAAACTGTGAAATAAAACCAAACCAAACCTAATGACCAGATGTTGATTTCGGCTTTGATTTGTTGGCTAATTTTGGTCGTTGTTTTCTTAAAAACAACCACCTTTAAGCACTCCCCACCAACCAACAGATCACCTCACCTCACCTCACTCTTTCTTAGAATGCAGGCAGACAAAAAGATGCACAATCATATAATGTGCATTCAGTACCTTAGAATAGTCATGATTTTGATTGAACATTGCTGAATTTTCGGTAGAAAGTCATATCTGACATACTCCAGCAATGCCACAATTTGATTATGATCTTGTGAAAGAATAACATCCAAAGGCTGTAAAAAAAAATAACCAAGTACTCAGGATATTATTTGAAATCTATTTCCAAATTGCATGTTTTATGTTACTCCTCCAAGTTACATTATATATTAATTCAGGCAAGCAGATGGTTGGAGATTGTGTAAAGAGAAGAAAAATGAGAAAGTTATGTGAATTAGGAGGTTGTCTTGCATTTGAACAGTACTTGTGCATGCGTTTTGTACTTCTATCATGGAAAGTAGTATTACAGTAAAGCTTAACAGGCAAGACCTCGTTCTTTTATCCTTCTGTATTGATAAAAGGCATGAACTTATTCTGTAACCATAACTTCCACATTTAAACCAAGTCATGCACCACCTAAATTAAATCTGAACAATCAACTTATGGACACTGAAATGGTCACTCAAGATTTGAACTCGGACAAAGTTTCAAACAAAATAACCCATTTCTGAGACAAAAAATATTAAAATTTGACACATCATACATGCACTAGGTGTTTCAGAAGATCTGGCCCAAAGCAGAGCAGAAATAGACAAAATCCATGCATCAAGCAAACGCCAATAAGCTCAGGACTCTAATTTACACTAGAAGTTTCAGTTCGAAACTTACCAAAATATATATTTATGTATGTATGTATAACAGAACTAAACTAAACATTAATGCTAGCTTCTATGCATTCGATAAGCGCTACAAAAAATGAAACAGTTACCTGGTATAGAGGACGCCAATACTCAGAAACTAGTAAATCCTTCTCTAGGACAAGGATTATAATCTCCAAAGAAAGTTGTACAGCCGTTTCTAGCAGTTGCCCATAAATTTGAGAAGTCCGTTCAGTGATAATAGAATTGACCCCTGGCAGAAGGATGCCCATGATATTTCGAAAAACAATCCGACCACTCATGAAATCCTGTCCAAAACAAATGTCAAACATTGTGTTACAACTAAATTATCAGCCTATAGTCTACAAAGATATAAGGAAGTTATGCAGCTTAAAAAAATCTTTTTGTCAGAAAATATGAAATAAAGCATAATGCAAATCTAGCCACAAAGCTTAAAACAGAAAAACATTGTTTGCAATAAAATTTTCAAGCCAATGCCCAAACTGAATTTCAGGAATGATATAGCAGTACCAAAAGAGAGTCTGATACCTTCTTTCCATTGAGAAGTCAATCGATAACAATTTAATAAAAGGAGAGACACAAATTGTGTTCAGCTTTATTATTGCAAGATCTCTCCGACCAAGCAGGCTCCTACCCTTTCAATTTCAATTAACGCACAATACTTCAACTTCCCTTTAGAAAACTCAATAGAATTAATGTCATCACCCAATGTAGCAGGAAGGAGGGATAGAGCAAATCAGATACTACAGTACTAACTAAAACCCACTTAAATTATGAAAGAACGGGGCACTGGACCATGATGTCCCGGAATTGGAACGTACTTTCATTGTTAACGTAACAAACACAGTAAATCAAGAGGTCTGTAGATGATAAATACAAGGGCAAAGCTATTTACATGAAGTGCATGACTAGGCCCAAGCATCCCCACAATGATTATTGTGGTGCAAAAGGTTATTGTTGAGTCATGAGTGCAGGGGACCAGACAAACCTAGCATGCATAAATTGTCATTCTAAATATGAACCTATATCTGGGGAAGAGAGATCCAAACTCAGAACCTCTTCTTTACAGGATCAGTATGGCTACCAAGTACATTCTTTCTTCTCTTTAGACGGGAGGAAACAAAAAGAACAGGAAATTTCAGTAAATAACCACCCCTAGGCTTGACAGAAGGTAAACAGTCAACAAACTTAAAACCTGTAATTCAAATTGCAAAATTGTAGTCTTGATGAAAATGGTTAAGGAACCACCAGAGGAACAAGTTAAAAACCCAAATCATGGACACAAACGTTACAAAGAAAACGAAATTGCTACCTCAACAAGCTTGGTTTCCTACAAATAAGAAAAGGAAATCTCAGCCCACTGGCAGCTAGCACTTCAGATTAATAATAGAAAAGTTAAGAGAAAACATATGATTCTGAGTTTCTGACCACCTTTCAAAAACATAAACTGACATTGGAAGTTGATGTGTAAATATTTGGAGTCACACAAACAGAGAGTGAAACACATACTTTTAACAACTCTAAGACAGGAAGCTGCATCTGAAGGGAAGATGATTGTGTGACCGTTGAAAGCTGTGACTGCTCAACAACACTGTCAATGTCCTCATCTTCAATTTCATACATGCTCAAAATCCTGCAGAATAAACATAAATAAGTTTTCTCATATACTACTCAACTGATGCAATACACTTCATTTATTTTAAAAGTTAAAACAAATCAACTTCCACCTTTAAAACTCAAACAGGAGCCTAAACAAAAGTGCATTGCATAGAAAGCAGAAATTCGGAAACTTCGAAGGAAATCAAAAGAAGGTTAAGATGAACAAGTATGAAAGAGGAGACTGGATGAGGGAGCAACTACAAAATATACATAAAGTTCCTAAAATCATTGTAAGGGGAAAAGAAGGAAGAAGCTGAGTTCCTTGTTGAAAATGGTAGAAGACATACATGTGAAAATGCTGAAGACAAGAAACAACTAACTGCCATTTCTCGCAAGGATCAGCATACGCTCTCTGAGGGAATGGCCCGAAGACATGATCATAAATGAACCTAAAGATACCTATAAATCTGCAAGAAGATAAACAACATTAGAGCAAGAAAGCATAGAAAACAAAATAATTGTCAGAATGTGAGAAAGAGCCTGCTGAGAAGTACCTACGCCCTCTATCGCTCACATCTTTTTCCTCAGCAATGAGAACATTTAACAGATTAAGGAAAGATATTGTTGAAGGATACTGTTCTCTCCTTGCTTCTATTTCATTCAACTCATATTGCATATCATAAACCTGTAAAATCAGAGTTTAACAGACCTAGTTTATTGTATGAAGGTAAACTAAACAGATTTCGTAGTCCTAGTTGATGATAGTTGTCCAAGTAAAATTGGTACGGATCCAAATCTCAACGTAATTAACCCATCGAGATCCTGACACACATCCATGCATTATCAACATCAAGTACCACAGCCAAAGTTTCTGAAATAATAATATAGCTAATCCATATTTAACTTCAGAAAAGGAAAAAAGAAAGAAAAAAAAAACTACAGATGTTCTCAAAAAACAATAATGAAAAGACAAAAATGTGCATTTGCAAAGATGTATGAATAACAAAATATATCTTCAGGGATTTAATTCTGTCATTCAACTTGATGCAAGCTATTTACACTATAAATGCAAAGTATATCAGATCTTAATCAAATTCATACATAATGATCAGCATGGTTTTATCCAAGCCCAATTACCAGAACTGATACAGTTTCTTTTCAATTGTAATAAGTATTTTTACTTCATTGAATGCAGATCTTGATAATAGGCAACACAAATCTCATTCAGCACCCTTACTAAAATATTATGATCTTTCAGTTTTGTTCTTATTTCAGCTAAAGCACTAAAGCTGTCTGTTTTCACCCATCAAGCCAACCGCATGATAGCGACACTTAGGTAATCAGATAATTCAAACCTCCTTAAAGAGACATGACAATAATTAAGCACAAAAAGATCACAACAAAAAAGCATCCTATTCTTTACACAGTATGGATATGTCATTGAAGGATTTCAAGGAGAGCAAAGAAAAGGAATAACCCTGTGGGGTGTCTTTTTCTAGACGAAATGAAAAGGACCAGAAAGAATGGAGATTTATAGCAAGCTCTTCAATCCCCTGAAAGCTTTAAAAATCCCCAGCACCTCAATCTGGGGTTTGTAGGTGGGAAGAAAACTAGGTTTATAGTTCTTGACTGGTTTTTGCAATGTTATGCTCTAATTATCGAAGAACCAAACGTATTAGTTTAGCTTGTATGATGTCATTAAGATGAATGTATAGGGAAAAAATGCCTAGGTAAGAAATGAGTGCATCTAATAGAAGGTTGAAGTGACAAAAACAAAGATAAAATTAACAGAAGATCGTCTCAAGAAAACCATAAGATACAAGGCTAGCTATCTTGGAATGTGGTTCTGTGGAAGTAAGCCTCTTCATATCGCTTAGTTCATTTATACAGATCAGGGAATGCATTATTTATATGAGTAGAATAGGCTATGTCTTTTACTCTTCTTAATTGGTTCGATCTGTGTTGCGTTGCCCACCAACCCAGACATATCTATTAAATAGTTTAGAAAATGCATTAAAAAGACAGCTAGGGGGCATTTAACAAACATTTCTCAGTAGGTAAGCATGAATACAAGCGTCATGCACTAAAGTAAAATAACGAAGTAACCGCTACCTCCACGAGTTTCTAATATGGATTCCACTATATGATGCAGTCCACCACACAGAATTTGTATCTTTTATTATTCAAAAACAAAATGCCTTAAAAAGACAACTAACCATCCATTTGGTGGTTATTTATGAGTTGTTAGGTGTCCATCTCTCAAACACACAGCAAAAATCCATCATATCTAAACAATCTCTCTCTTTTCACCAAGTAACCGCCACTCCTTTTCTCCAAGTGTCTCTCTTTATCCCCCCGTCTTTTCCAAAAAAATTTCTCAAAGTTGAAACATAAAATGTTCAGAAGTATATTGCTTGAACACTGATACAAATGGCCAAAAATCCACAGGAGAATTGATACACATGACTGAAAATCAACAAAAGAATCTTCTGTTTGCTTTTCCTGTGATAACATTGATTTAACCCTTCTTGATCCCCAACAAACTACAACCAGGATCTAGCAATCGATATCACAGATCACTGTCTACTCAGCAATTTCTGGCAGCACTATTTGCAACCCCTCAACCTCTTTAATGACAGGATATAGCTGTACTTCAGTATGAAAAATTAGTTTTCATTCCATGGCCAAACAAGGGGAAGATAATTGCTCTCCTTCCCTCCTGTACATCCCAATACAAGAGAGGATAACCACTGCAACTTTGCCAACCCTCCCTTTCCCTACCTTCAAAACTCTCCCTTTCCTGTCATCCATCCACACATCCTTTTAGACTCCAATGATATCTAGTTTACATTTTGAATTTTAATAGGACTGAACCTTTGGGTAAATATGATAGGCTATATTTCAGCTGCAAGCCACAGACAACTGTATCTGTTAGTTCTTGTACATTAGTGCTACTAGATTCTACCACTCAACATGCTAAATAGCCAGTAGCAATAAGCATCTTGAAAGACCAAATGTTAACCAGAGGTACATTAGTGCTACTAGATTCTACCAATCAACAAGCTAAATAGCCAGTAGCAATAAGCATCTTGAAAGACCAATTGTTAACCAGAGGCCATCGAAATAAAGTCCAAAAAACAGTTGTATGAACACCTTCAAATATTTCTCAAAGAAATCATCAAGTTCGATAAATGTATAGAACTTGTATGAAAGGAAGGAAAGCAAACAATTACATAGCTAACACATTCTAAGTAGGTTCAGACACCCAAAAAAAAAAAAAATCTAAGTTCTACAAAGATAACTAACCTGTGTTCCCGTCGGCTGTGCACTGTTACCAACATGAGCCCCAACAACCACAGGTAAATCATACTGCTCAAGATAACTCCAAATAGCATCTTTTAGGACTGGAGAGACATGAACAAAAGTAGCAATGGCATTCCGCAGAGCACCCTGTAAAACAACAGTATATTCAATTTAGAAAGAGACAGGGACAACTCAATGGAAGCTTCTAATGTTTAAACAGAAAATTGCAAGTGTTCAACGCTGAAAAACTTGCTTAGATAACTAGCTAGATCCGAACAAACTTCAACCTTCAAATATGGAGGTATATTTTCATAACTAAGGAGCTTGAACAATGGTTCAACGTCAGGAAACCATTTTTTTCTATCCACAGGATTCCCATTTTCAATAACCTGCGGAACACAGAAAATAAATAAAAACCAAAAACATAAGAGTACAGAACTGCAGAAAAAATTAATGAGAAAATGAAAAACTGAGGGGCTGTTCAGAAACAGAGTAATACTCCCATTCTGTAAAATTATAATAATAAGTCCTCATATTTTAGTCTTCGCTTAAATCCTTAGAGTGTAGACAAAGGCTGAAGTTATCCTTGAAAATCTACCAGCAATCAAGCGACAAAAATTCCTTTCAAGAATATGACTATTAATGCCCATTGGCACAAATATCCGAATGTTATTTAGATGAATCAACAGTGATGACAAAACCATAGAAAAAAATCAATTCTCCACACAGAAGCAGTCAAATTCAATAAAGGAAAGGAAAATATCAGAAGCAAGTCAAACCTTTTGAAGAACATCCAGATATGCAACAAGTGCTTTTGCATCCCCTTCCAGAAACTCTGGTAGCATGGCTCCAGCAGTCTGAAGTGACTGTTTGAACTTCTCGTCATATATAGTTAAGCAATCAAACAAAGTGCTCCACCCAACAGAGCGGAAAGCTTTTCCCTGAAGTAACTCATAAACCTTCGCAGCACCTTCTTGATTTGAAGCCTGAAAGGAACATTACATCAAGAACACCAAAGTCTGGCATTGCATAAACATGGTAGAAAATAGAGCATTTTCCAATAATTAGATTATAAAACAGAAAATCACATACCAAAGCACTCAGCATTTTCAGAAAAGCTACAAGTGTTTGAAAATTAGTATGATCCTCTCCAGCAAAATTGACAAAAGTCCACAATACGTCATTGCCAGACAAAAGCTCTGGTTCCTTCTGGAAAAAGTAAAAAAATCAAGGCACCAGGAAATGGTGAGAATATGAAGAATTAATGAAAAAAATAAATGCACAACTTGCTAGTCCCTACTAACTTCTGATTCGGTAATTTATTCTTCCAATCCCTAAATCTAAAACAGAAACCTGAATTATATTTTAATTAGATTTAACAAAGAAAAGGGAATAGCTCGCAAAAGATTGTAATTTATTTAAAAAATTTACTGTTTCGGAACTTCCAAGCTAAATTCCTTGGCCATACCAAGTCATACAAATTAGGTACAACAAACCTGATAAATTTCGCTCACAAACTCCAGCAGAGAGACAAATAGCAGAGGACCAGTTTCGGTGGCCTGTTGTGAATCCAAGTTGCTATCATGCATAAGATCTTGAGACACAGCCAAACGGTATGAATTGAGTGTGCTCATTGCCTTGTCCTTTGATTCTTTTACCTTCAGGAATATTAATGTCAGCATTTAAAAACAAGAACTCCAAAAGAAAGCAGTAGAAAGGGATCTGAACAACTGCTCACCCACAGCAGAAAAAAAGTTGGCATTATAAAACGCAACAATCTAACAGAAATTGACAGAAAGGGATGTTGCTCAACTCGTTGAATCATAAAGGCTGTTGTACACACTAATACTAAATTCCTAGCAGATGTACATGTGGATTACTCGCTGCGCAGCATCTTGCTACCCCAAATAGGTTTATTTTCAAATAATATAAAGATTTAAGAGGAAATGAAATGATCCAACTTACCTTGTCCCTAACAAGTTGGTGAGAGAGTAAGCAAGTGGTCAGCTTGTGCAGATAAGCATTGTACATGTAGATCATATCCTCATCATCATTCTGCGAAAACCAAAATTTGAAATTGGCCTTAAAATCACATTATATGTCCAAGATTGAGCACCACAACACAAGGACAGAGGACTCTAGAAACACCCACTAAAGATCAAGAGCTTCCCGAAGCCTGATCCATACATTTTCAGAATCTCATGTTTAGAGTGAGGGAACCCCATGAAAAAAAAAAATTGATTATTCTGTCACAATTTTATTGGATAGTAGAAATGTATAAGCCGCAAAAAGGTTTATACTATGAAATCAGATAATGATCTGTGTTTTATAGGGACTCAAAAAACCAATTGGTTGAGCAAAGGCTTTATTGACAGATAACAAATGCATTGAGCATAAGGCAATTTTGATTAGAAGATCATAAATGAAAATTTTGCCACTTAAGGAAAACATCCTCCATTACAAACCTGGTAGGCTGCCGTTCGAAGAACGTTATCCAGTAAAAACTGAAAAACATTGTGTGAGAAAATGAATTCCAGGCACGAATTTACATAGCCTGAATCATTTGATGAAGAAGCTAAAATCCCATCATTTATTAACATCAAATGTACACACCAAGCAAGTCTTACGACACCAACAAAGCCCTCCACGCTTGGATTGTTTCCAGTAGCCATCACCTGAGCAATGAGTATGCAAGATAATCAAAACATTATAAATGGTCATTATGGACGATGAGTAGAAATCACGAATCGTCAGTTATCTTACAATTTCATGAAATTCTTTTCTGAAAGAAGCATCACGAGACAGGATAGATCCTTTATCAGGTACGGCACTGAGAGCATCTGATATGAAAGCAATTACAAGAGAGAAAAGCAGACTGAATGTAATCTGCACAAGAGGAAATGTAAAAAGAAACTCAGGAACTTTATTCATAGCAGAAAGAAAAAGGAAAAAATGAAATCATCCCAGGTAATAATCCTCCATAAATAAATGATAAACAAAAAATTGTGCAGTCAACAGAAAACAAAGCCATGCCTGGTGTTTTAATGTATTGGTGCCCTCCATAAGTTCTGCTGCACTATCTTTCAAACAATTAAAAATATCCTTTACATCTTTTGGACCTGTAATGAGGAAATGTTACAGCATGTCAAAATGAATAAACTGTATCACTCTGGGAGGAAAGAAGGGAAGTATTATTTGGTTCAATTCAATTTTAAAAGAGAAAACCTCAACTGAAGATAATTTCCAACCACACTAAGTAAGGCTGACGATGAAAGGGAAAAAACACCAAAGGGTACATTAATTTAATGCATTTGATCATGTATGAAATTCTAATGCTTAATTACTTGTTATGCATAGATTGCAAATTTTTATTGTTCCACCTCTAACGCAACACATAAAAAGTGAGAAAAGCAAGCAACTTAATTGTTCTCCAGCTCCACAATCTTCCTAACACTAAAAGTAAACACCCGTTAAGAAAGAAACAGGTCTTGTCCTTATAATGTCATTTAATATGGGAAGGAAAATAGATATATATTAGGCCCAAAACTTCAGAATCTTTTACTTAACACTTAAAATTTAACTCCCTACAGGACCATGTACATGGAAAAAACCAAATATGCAAACTATAAAGCATAAACTTATCAACTTGAGTCAAGATTCCCAAGTGTTGCACTGACAAAATAATATTTCACAGGAGAAATTTGTGGGTACTGTAAAACTCCATCACAAGCCACAATCATACAAGATAAACGATGCAAAAACACAAAGACAAATCTCAAAAGCTTACTTGTCCGCACAACCAAAACAGAGAGGACAAGGCAATGTCCAAGAATCAATCTCTCTCTACAAACCACGGCTTGACGCTCAACAAGAGCACCTCTAGAATCGAGGACATAATGTTCACAATGAGGCCCACCAAAACCAGCTGGTTCTTCCAGATTGAGTTCCTAGAACCAAACAGATGTCAATTTGGTCAATATATAACAAAAAAATATGGGCAGATATGATCATATAAAATGCCACAAGGCAGGTGAAGTAATTGCACAGTTAACAAAGCAAGCTAGATGTTTATTTTTACAATCTGAAGATATTAAATTTCATGTCCGGCTACCTGAAATCTCCATATTCTCTATAACGAGAAAACAAATATCCAAGTCAATAAATAGCTGGAAAGTAAAGATGTTTCTGACAGTTCATTCCTTTGTGATCATTTTGACAAACTATTCAGTCAAGATGCCATAATATTGCAATGACCAATAACATCAGGTGCATTTATTTCTTCCATGCTTGACTCCTAAAAACATGATTCAAACACAACATTGTCATTAAGTTACTCAAGCATTGCATCACGCTAAGATGACTTCAAAGGTGCATTAAATGTAGTTAAGAGGAGGACAGGTTCAGCCAAAAGAGAAAGTGTTGGACTACTAGTCCAGTGGAACAACAGCTCCATAAGCTGTTATCATCCTGTGAGCTAAATTTATAAGTTGAAAGTCCACTCAGATTAAGTGGATTAGGTGGATTGAACGTGCAAAACTTCAATGCATTATGTACTTCTGAGACCCCTTTTATCATTTGAATGTTCCATAGGAGTTGCAAAGACCTAAAGCAAAATCTAACAAGCTAGCATAGAAAGTGACTATAGTAACAAGCAAGCAAGCATCTAAACCTCAGTTACTGCAGATTATATTACTACTTTATTTCCAGAGACAGGATCAATGAGCAAAACCTGAAGACAAGGTATTGCTAGCATAGAAGCTCAGCCCAGGTTCAAGTACTGGCTCGCTTAAACAAAAGAAATCACTCTTATGAATTTCGAAGGAGATCCAAAATGAAAAACGAATGCACTGGGTGAAAACCAAGTATGACACTGATCTAGGACACAGGAAAAGATGCTAATCTAGCAGGTTAATTGGGACTGGGGTCAGGGACTCTCATGAATGGATTGGCAGTAATTAGGGTAGAAATATTTTTTTGATTCAGCAGCTGGAATCAAAACTAATTCATGGTAGAAGAAGTGGCATAATAGAAATAAAATAGAACCACAAGAGGAAGGGAAGATCCAGGCATCATGTCTAGAAAAAAACTATAAAACTCTCAAACTATTCCATGAATCATGTCCAATGAGAAAGCTTGATTTCTGTGTGTGTGTGTGTGTACCCAACCCAAAAAAAAAGACTTGTAAATTACATAGTTGTTAGCTAGATCATAAGATTCATGAACACTAAAAAGACTCCTAAAAGAAGTAAAATAGACAAATGATTCAGAATAAGAAAATAGGTTTTGTTTTAGACGAATCAGCCTTGTCAAATGTTGGCATATACTTCATTACTCTTGTTTTAGAAAGTGGCAAACTCGGTGCTTACATTAATAGATATATGAACTTTCAAATAGACATATTGATATCTTAATCTAATTGAAAAGGTTCAAATTTAAGTTAAGTTCCACTTACTACATACCAAGATTCAAATACTTTAGCACGCTAAAACTGAGACTGAATGGAAATTAACCTAAGTAAGCAACCATCTCTAAACTGCATGTTGCTCCCAACCAAGGGTGTTATTAATCCAACTTGGTTAAAGGATATTTGGATACTCGAGCCCTTTAAAAACACATCAACCACCACACACACCTTACTTGGGGCGATTTTGCTATATAATGTTCATATGTAAGAGAATTAGGCCTAATCAAGTCTGAGAAGACACCAATCTACAAAGCAAGTCAAAAGTTCACACCTTTATGAGAGAAATCAATCGCTGTCGAAGCCCGCCATTGATTAGATCTTCAAGATACTTCTGGATGTCTGACACAATATCATCTTCAAGTCCTCGATCAAGCACTACAGCCTGCAAAAGAAGGTGTAAACAACCTAGAAAGGTACTAAACAATTTAAAACAAACAGAAATAAAGGTACCCTTAATAGCATGTGTAGGGTTGTTATTAGATCTCGTCTCTCAGTGTACCAAAGTCCTGCTGCAAGCCGCAGAATTTCTACTGGCTCCCGCCCCATTAAACCCCACTAGAAATAAAAAGAAGAAACATAAATAAGAGCACAGTGGCAGCACATACATCATAAGTCAGTGCAAACTTGAGACAAAGAAGCAAAATCAAGATTCACCTCTTGATTGGCAGAAACTAGCAATCGAACACACTCTATTTCATTAAGATGGAGGTCATCACTCAATTTCAATGCCTACAATCAAACGAAACACAAAACATCAAGCAGCAAGTAAGAAAAGAAAAAACTGACTCAATAACCAGTCAAGGAGAAACAACTATCTATTACACCTGAAATACAGATAATACTACAGGAAGGACATAAGAGTATCTGTTTAAAAACTTGTAAGGCATAAATAACCAAACTTGAAAATGAATAACTTTATTCAGCGACAAATCATGCATTAAGCATTACAAGATTATAAATAGAAATTATCTTATAGTCCCATAGTATTCGCATGCATAATATTGGTGATTCCCCAATTACACATCAGACAAGCCACTGCACATTAGCTGCTAATTTAGGTACTTAGTAGCTGCTAATCATGTTCATTACTAATAAATACATAATTTTAAGTAAGTAATAAACATGATTAGCAGCTACTATGGGCCCATTTGGTATTGTTGCCATCTTCTGTTTTCTATTTTTATTTCTTTTTTAAAAGCTATTTTCAAAATTTTGACTAACCATACTCAATTTTATCATCTTTTTTTTTTTGTCCCCGGTTGTTAGTTCTTCTACCATTACAACATCAAGAAAGGTATGAGCCCTAAGTAATTAGGTTTATTAGCAAGCAGCTCAGCTAAGAATTAATCTGAGCCAATTCCAATTGACGGAAATAAAAAGAAATTATAAGATACTCCATTATTACTAACTAATTTCTAAACAGAAAATGAAACTCACAATTTGCACATCCTGATCATCTAGTGAGATTGCTGGTGAATCCGGCAGCCTAACTTCTTTTGACTGGACTTGTGCGCGGTCCGATGGTTTCGGTGGCTACAAAAGCAAAGCCAATGAGTTAAAAAAAAAAAAAAAAAAAAAAAAAAAAAAAAAAAAGGTAAATTCTAAAATGAAGGAATGAATGATATTAATTAATAAGGGGAATGCACCGGGTAGAAAAGGAGCGCCTGCAGAGATGGTCGAGAGCTGCGAATGGCGTGCATTAGTTCGACTCTTTCTGCCGCTGACGGTGGCGAAGGATTTAGAAGTGTGGATTCGATGGTGGAGAGGAGTTGTCTTGGGGATACCATTTTCCCGAAGTTAAAATACTTCAATCAAAACAAAAATAAGAAGAAGAAAGGAAAATTTTAAAAATATTTGAGTTCTCCCTGCTCCTGCTCTTCGTTTTGAAGCTCCAGAGCTAGATAGTGTCTTGATTTTCTTCTTCTCCACTGAAAAAGAAGTGAAAAAATGAAAGTCTGGAACCCTACTTCAAGTGACTTTTGGCGCGACTAAAATCTCCTTGGGCTTAATTTATGGGCCTTGCTTTGAATTCTTCTATTGGGCAATGCGAGGCCCATGGTCCAGAGTTTACAAATCTTCACCCTGACAATGCAAATAACAAAAGCTTCAATCAAGATGCTCTATTTTTATTTTTAAGGGATAAATGAATATTTAAAGAGACAGCCCATTTAATGAATCTGAAAACGATATATATATGGCTTTGATTCGTAATTTTTTTTAATTATATGTTAATTCTTTCAGCTTTGTGTTGTAGTATTGAAGTACTTACTTAAGTTGTTTGGAATAGAGAGTTGGCTTATAAATTAAATGATTTTCTTTACAACTAAAATATCAAATAATGGTACTCCGTAATTTAATATCAAGTTCTAACACCATTATCATTGACATTTTTCTATAGCCTTTGTAGGTTTGAAGGTGGATGACATTTGCTTTCTTCATTGAACTCGTGACATATATATATCGAGACAATATAAAAATGCTCATTCCATAATACTTGAAAAAAAAACATAATTTACATTCACATAGAAGTTTGTCCGATAACATTTCTTATCATTAAATTTAAAACAAAAAATTTATCCAAAGATGATGGTAGTAGCTTTTTGTTTAATATATAAGATGCTAGGCATAGCGCACTCGTAGAATAGTGTTTTCTTACATGAAAAATGGGACACATAAAAAACATTACATATAACTAAAAGAACCGAAGTATTACATATAATCGAAAGAATTTGGGCATATTCACAATAAATGAGTAATGATGAACAGTACTCCAGCTTCTCTTTTTTCTTTTTTTCTTTTTTTTTTTTTGCTAGGTCGACCGAGTAACCAAGGCTCGGCTCTTGGGCATGCACACGCCGAGCCTTGGCGGCCCGACTCGGCCTCTTTCTCGCTTTATATTGAATTAATTAGGTGTTGGTGTTGATAAATTGGGTTAATGGTCTAGAATGTTCCTCTACTTGTTTCATTTGTCTTAATCGTATCATTCTACTAATTTTCTCATTAATTGCATCCCTCTACTTTAATTGGCATCTTAATTTCATCCCTCCATCCAAATTTTCAAGTAACGGCATTCATTTTTGACAACGGACAAGCGGTATGCTCACACATGGTATTTTTTTGAAAAAAAATTAAATTTCCTAAAAGAATAAAAAAAATCCCAAAAGGTTCTTCTTTTTCTCTACCTTTTGCTTCGTTCCCATCTTATAAAAAACATTTCATAAAAAAATTTATTTGAGTTTGGAATTGAAATACATTTTCATAATAATTTTATGAAATAAAAAAAAATTATTCCTTTCTATACATAAAAAATTTTCTTTTTGGTTTGGATTTGAGAGAAAGCAAAACAAAATTGAGGGATGAAATTAATTATTCATTTCTATATATAAAGGCAAAGAAAAAGAAGGGCACTTTGTTTTTTTTTTCAAAAATTTAATTTTTTTTCAAAATTAAAAAAATACCACATGTCAACATCTTGTGCATCTATCATTGAAAATTAACATCGTTACTCGAAAATTTGAACAAAGGGATAAAATTAAGATGCAAATAAAAGTAAAAGGACACGATTAAAATAAACAAAGGAGTAGAAAGACATCTTGGACCATTAAACGTTGATAAATTAGGATAAAATTTTGAGTATATAATTAGTTATACAATGATTAAAAATAAAAGTGGAGTCATTAGATAATTAAGTTACTAGATTTAAAATAACACATTAATTTTAAACTTAAAGTGTTATTTTAAAATTGACATTATTTCTTATTATTTGAACTTAATATTTAAAAATTGATAAATTAATTTTTAATCAAATTTTTTTAATACATATAAATAATTTGTTGTGTTTATGAACTCGTGATATTAATTATTTATATACAAAATCAATGCAACTATTTAATAGCATTGCGACAGATCACTCCAATCGCTCTAGTAACTTTCCAGCCACTCCTAATTGTAAGGTAAGTTATTGAAACTTCAATTTATAATTTATGTCATAGACCAATCTTTAGTTAGTTATGACAATTGATAGTATATTTATTTTATCAATGATTGTTGAAGTATGACGAGATATGTCATGGTGTAGCAAATCCGATGAATCGGAGACCTTCGAGAATTAAGAAGAAATAACATTGGTCCAATGCTCGCGATGGAGCCGAAAGGACGAGTTTGAGATTTAATTTAAAAGATAATCTAAGACAAGTGATGGTCTCGGTGTATGCAAATTGATTTATTTAATTGATTAAATGTGAATTTTTGTTGATATTTATTTGACGATGATTAATTAAAAATATTTGCATTTTTTTGTTTTGTATTTTTTTGGATATATAGATTTTTGTATAGGTAGAGTCTCTTTGAATTAGGAAACGTCCAATTTATAGGAGAGACTCTATCAAATGCTATTAGATTTTTAGTATAATTGGTAATGAAGTAATTTTATGTTGACTCGGATATGTAGAAGGAAAATATGAGATTCGATCATACATAGATGAACTTTATGTTAACTAATAGGATTTTAAATAAGGGTTTTATGAATGGGGTCAAGGAATTTGATGTGTTTGCTAGTAGTCATCCCGAATGTATGGACGAAAGAAAGATAAGATGTCCTTATAATCGCCATAAATGTAAGAACCATAAAGTTGAAGAGGTTCAAATGGTTAAATACCATTTAGTGAAAATAGTTTTATGTCCGACTATTATTATTAGATCCATTATGGAGAAATTGAGTCAAAAAGAAATTTATTTTTGGATAATTATGATAAAGGCAAATATTTTTTTACTAAACCCCATAATTCATATCAACCAATGGTGATAGATGTAGCCGAGCCATCATTTATTTTATCTAAGACCAATAAGGTACCAAATTTTGACACATAGAATTTTTACAATATGTTGAATGCATCAAATAGAGATATTTGGTCTAGATGTGAAACTCTATCATAGTTGTCTGCAGTAGCTCGAATGTTAAACCTTAAGTGCGTAACACCATTTTTTCAAAAGGTGTTATGACAAGTTATGTCAACTAATGAAGGAGTTGATATCTACCGATAATCATATGACTAAAAATTCTATAGTACCAAAAAGTTTGTAAATGGGATAGGTTTACTAGTTGAAAAGATCTATTATTGTAATTGTGGTTGTATGATTTTTTAAGGTAAGACAGTGAATTAACTACTTTCAAGTTCTACTTTCATCCTCGACATTGATGTTCAAGATAAGGATCAATGAGAGCAAAAGATGTTTGATATAAAAAAATATACTACTTCCTGTGTACTTTATGGTTGTAAAGATTATATACTTCAAACGCCACAACCAATCGCATGACATGGCATCCTCGAGCATGAGGTTGGCGATGCGTACGCAATACGTCATTACTCCGACTCTCTTACATAACGACATTTATATCAAACGCATCTTTTTTTATATGAGAAAAAAATTTTATATTAAAGTTTGTAATGATGGGTTTCAACTTTTCAATCGATCCGGTGCATAATATTTTTTTATGATTGATAATTATCATGCCTTACAATTTATCGTTGTGGATGTGTATGAAAGAAGAATATATATGTTATTAATTATCGTTATGATTAGACCAATAAATCCATATAATATGTTGGATGTATTCTTACAACTCCTAATATTAGAGTTGCTTTAATGGTGAAAAGTTGGTGTGCTTAGCTACGATGTGCGTCGAAAGTAGAATTTTCTATTACGGGCCATAAGTATATAAACTATTAGTAACTTTTCTACATATTCAATGTTATTCAGTTGGAATGGTATAGGAAAATTGCCATGTCCCTACCGAATGGCGAATTTAGATACATTTAGCCTTCTTAATAGAAGACAAACGTCGTAGTTTGCCAATGATTGTAAGTTTCTCTCTATAGATCATTAATTTAAGAGGAACGAAAGCTCATTCATAAAAAATAGAGTTATATCATGAAATACTCCCTAATCTGGTATGGAATGAGATGATGGAGTGGATTGATAGTTGGAAGTTGATGAAAGTCACGAAGAATATACCTATGGAAATAACGAGTAGAATATCTAGAATGTGTGGTTGGAAAAAATAATGTATATTATAGGATTTATCTTATTTTAGGATTAATTTCATTCGTCACAATTTAGATATAATGCATATTAAAAAAATATCTTCGACAATGTGTTTAACAATGTAATGAATATGCAAGGTAAAACTAGACAATGTCAACTCCATAGAAGACTTAAAAAAAAATTTTATCGAAGACCAAAGTTAACAAGAGATAAAGCCCTAAAATAATACCCTAATGAAATTTTTATGCTTTAGAAATTATAGAAAATAGTATTGCTTGAATGGATTAGATAACTCATGTTTCCTAACATATATGTATCTAAAATGGCTAGATGTATGGATATAAATAAACAACAATTATATAGCATAAAAAATCATGATTGCCATATGTTTATGAAGAAGTCGAGTACTTATTGCATTTCAAAAGCTATTATTGATAAATATTTTGCAATCACTAATTTTGAGTTGAGTTCATTCTTCAAGGACTTGACTTCTACTATCATAAGCGTTGAAGATATGATGCGTCTTAAAGTAAAAATACCTCTAATTTTATACAAGCTGAAACGTATATTTTCACTAAGTTTCTTTGACTCCATGGAACATCTTCCAGTTCACTTGGCATATGAAGCAATGATAACGGGACCAATGCAATATCGATTGGATGTATGAATTTGAAAGGCAATGGTATTCATTTTGAATGTTAATCGAATAATTTTACAATTATCAACCATTAACCTAATTAAT